GGGCCAAGCCGTCCCCCCTCCGGCCTTCAGAAGAGGTCCAGGAAGGCTGGCGGGGGCCGAAGGCTTTGCTCCCCACCGCCAGCATTTTAAAAGCAGTCCGGGATAGCAGGGAAGCGCTTCCCGCTATCCCGGACGGCTTTTGAAGGCAGGAGAGGTCCCGCGAAGCCTGGGCGCGCTGATCTCAGCGCGCGCAGGCTCCGGCATGCCGGCAGCTCTCCGCAAGCAGCGGCAGCGCTGCCGCTGCTCGCGGAGAGGTCCGCGAAGCCTGGGCGCGCTGATCTCAGCGCGCGCAGGCTTCGGCATGCCGGCAACTCTCCGCAAGCAGCGGCAGCGCTGCCGCTGCTCGCGGAGAGGTCCGCGAAGCCTGGGCGCGCTGATCTCAGCGCGCGCAGGCCCGGCATGCCGGCAGCTCTCCGCAAGCAGCGGCAGCGCTGCCGCTGCTCGCGGAGAGGTCCGCGAAGCCTGGGCGCGCTGATCTCAGCGCGCGCAGGCTCGGCATGCCGGCAACTCTCCGCAAGCAGCGGCAGCGCTGCCGCTGCTCGCGGAGAGGTCCGCGAAGCCTGGGCGCGCTGATCTCAGCGCGCGCAGGCTCGGCATGCCGGCAACTCTCCGCAAGCAGCGGCAGTGCTGCCGCTGCTTGCGGAGAGGTCCGCGAAGCCTTGGCTGGACAGCTTTTGAAGGCAGGTGGGGGGGACAAGGACTTTCGCCCCCGCCAGCCTTCAGAAGAGGTCCAGGACCTCTTCTGAAGGCTGGCGGGGGCAAAGTCTTTGTCCCCCTGCCTGCCTTCCCAGGAGCTTTAAATTGCCCCGGACAGCGGAGAAGTCCTCCGCTGTCCCGGGGCAATTTTAAAATACCGCCCGCCAGCATTTAAGATCGCCCCGGACAGCGGAGAAGCCCTCCGCTGTCCCGGGGTTTTAAAATGCTGGGGTGGAGTGGGAAGAAAAGCCCTTGTCCCCCAGCCTTAAGAAGAGGTCGGGGGACAGACTGTCCCCGGACCTGGTCTGAAGTCGGTTTCCCTAGGAACGCATTAATTGATTTTCAATGCATTCCTATGGGAAACCGTGCATCACTAAGACGAAAAACTCGCAAGAAGAAAAAACTTGCGGAGCAATTAATTTCGTCTTGCGAGGCACCACTGTACAGGAGAGGAAGGACTGGACTCTGGCACCCTTGTGTAGCGGAGACTCAGAGTGACCAACACGTAGCAATGGCAGCAGGCTCGGAGCCTCCCTCTGGATGTAAATTGTAAATAAACATACATAAAACTGCCAGAGACTCATTAATTCTTATCAGAGATTGCTTGCCTGCCTGAGATCATTACATCACCGCAAACGCAATAGAATTTGGCACAACTGACCACAGCCAAATCTTATTTGTAGTAGCTCTCCCTAAAGGAAGCCTGTTTGTTGCCAACTTTTTCATTGCAAATATAGTTGCCCCGCCCTAGGCACTTGGGCAGCACCAATGACTGAACAATATAACATATTATCTGTTTTGAATGTGTTATGTAATATTATCTTTACTTGCTTGTAAATTGCCTCAGAATTATTATTTTTTAGTGATAAGCAATGTTAAAATTAAATAAACCTAACCTAAAGCACACATGTAAATGGGATTTACAGTCAATGAGATTTAATCCTGGGTAAGTGCATATAGGACTGCAGCCTTAATCACTTTATAAAGGCACATAATTCATAAAGAGAACATAAATTGTGCCTCAGTGATGACAATCCATGATAAAAAGCATTAAAAAAAATATTGTTGTCTTTTCTTTCCATTCAGCCTGATACACTCCAACCCTTTTAAGTACTCTTGTACTCTGAACACCTTCTAAAATGGCGGCACAAGGTCACTGTTTATTGCATTTCAATTACCACAGAACAAATAAAATGCCAACTTAATTAGAGCACTGCCTTTTATCTTTCAAAAAGAATCAGGCAGACAGAAAATTGTGTTCATTCTGGAATTCATTCATTGGCAATAAGCTTCTTTCAAGTGATACTTGTTACAGGCAATGGCTGACATACACCTGTAAACGTCAATATGAGAATTCTGAAAACTTGTACATAGATAATTACCTCGCAAATAATCAACACCACAATCCCCTCTGCTTTATGGGCTATTTACTAATGCAAATATGTTTAGGCAGTTTGAGCTGATGGTTTGGGCCTAATCACAAAATCTCTTAGCGCATCAAACACATCTACAGAGACTAGAGTTCCTGGAAACTGAACGAAATGAGAAGAAAAATTTAAAAGAAGTAAATCAATGTTGTTCCCTTACTGGAAAGGCAATGTTGGAGGAGATCTTTTTACTGCAAGTTGACTAGTTACCATGGCCACTAGGTGAGGGATGTTTACTTGAAGCAAATAAAAGGACAATGAAAGAGTCTTTAATGTTCTTAGCCCCTTGCCTCTACACACACACACACACACACACACACACACACACACACTTGCAGTACATTTGTTGGGAAAGGTGACAGTATGCCAACCACATAATCAGAAAAGGAGTTGTGAATGAAGACAGGAAAAGAGCCCAATTACACATGACAATTTAATGAGTGGGGATGGGGTAGAGATCCCCTGATACAAATCTGCCCCCTCCCAAGCTGCTATTAGCAACAGAGTGGAAAACATACAGGCATAACAAGGTTGTGGCTAACAGCAACTCCTGCTGGTGTAGTTTGTTTATATTAGAGATTTCTTCATTTACAAAAATGCGTGCATTGTCTCTTTTTTCAAGTTGTGTTTTCTACAGATCAGTTTCATTTGTTGTGAGACATTAGTGTTGCATGCAGTGTTAGGTTAGGAAGGAAAGAGAGGGAAAGGGGGAGGGCGGGTGGTGAGTGGGGTGGGGTCAGGTGGCAATGCTTCTATTTTACTTAGTGTATGTGTGGGGGTTTGTGTCAGCATCACTTGTGTGGGTTCTCTTACTATTCGCTTGTATTTCCTTGGTGGTGAGAGAGGTTGGGGTGGCTTAGGGTGTGGTTGGTTGCCTTTGGTTGGCTGTAGTGAGACTCGTGTGTGTGTGTGTGTGTGTGTGTGTTTGTGTGTGTGTATCAGGTTAGCCAGATTGATTCGTAGGCTGTCAGCAGATTCTTCTTGTTGTCTTGTTGGGCTGTGAAAAGGGAACCATATCAGGGTGAAGGTGTCTTCTTCTATTTGCCCCCGTGTCAGTTTCAGTTTATTGGTTAGATAGGCTGTTTCCCATATTATTTGATACCATTGGTCCATGCTTACTCTTGACAGCTCTCTCCAGTGTCTGGCTATTGTGGATTTTGTTTTTTGTTTTGTTTTTTAAATGATATTTATTCCAAATTTAAAGTTACAAAAAAGAAAAAGAAAAACCATACAAAATACAAAGAAGACTTTAACCATAACAAAGCGAAACATAAACAGGTAAAAATGAACAATAAAATAGAATAAAAAGAAGACTTGACAAAAAATATAAAAATACATTAAGTTAAAATAAAACGAAAACAGATTAAACCTTTACATAGCCTTTTCCCTTTACTTATTTCCATGACCTCCTCTCACCTCCCAATTTTGTATTCTAGTTCAGATCGTATTTCCAGCAAATCCTTCTAACCTTATTTTCATTTACGTATTTTAAAATTAAAATAATGTAATTAAACCTCCTCTGTTTCATCAATTTCATCATCTCATTTTTACTTAATCCTTTATATCATATCTACCAAAACAACCTAATATTCTTTTTCCAACCTCTTTCTAACAGTCTTTTATATTGCAGTATTTTTGAAGATATATTTTGAATTTTTTCCAATCTTCTTCCATCGACCCTTCTCCCTGGTCTCGAATTCTGCCGGTCATCTCAGCCAGTTCCATGTAGTCCATCACTTTCATCTGCCATTCTTCTCGGGTAGGCAATTCTTGTGTCTTCCAGTACTTCCCGATGAGTATTCTTGCTGCTGTTGTAGCATACATAAAAAAAGTTCTATCCTCCCTTCGCACCAATTGGCCGACCATGCCCAGAAGAAAGGCCTCTGGTTTCTTCAGAAAGGTATATTTAAATACCTTTTTCAATTCATTATATATCATTTCCCAGAAAGCCTTAATCCTTGGGCATGTCCACCAAAGGTGAAAAAATGTGCCCTCAGTCTCTTTACATTTCCAACATTTACTATCTGGCAAATGATAGATTTTTGCTAGCTTGACTGGGGTTAAGTACCACCTGTAAATCATTTTCATTATATTTTCTCTTAAGGCATTACAAGCCGTAAATTTCATACCTGTGGTCCATAACTGTTCCCAGTCAGCAAACATAATGTTATGTCCAAAATCTTGTGCCCATTTAATCATAACAGATTTAACCGTTTCATCCTGTGTATTCCATTTCAACAGCAAGTTATACATTCTTGATAGATTCTTAGTTTTAGGATCTAACAATTCTGTTTCCAATTTTGATTTTTCCTCCTGGAAACCAATCTTCTTATCTAAATTATAAGCCTCCCTTATTTGATAATAATGAAGCCAGTCTTGAACTTTAGTTTTTAATTTATCAAAGCTCTGCAGCTTTAATCTATCTCCATCTTGTTCTAAAATTTCACAATATTTTGGCCAATTTGTCTCCATATTAATTTTTTCAGAGCCTTAGCCTCCATTGGTGACAGCCACCTTGGTGTTTTACTTTCCAACAAATCCTTATATCTCACCCAGACATTAAACAATGCTTTCCTGACAATATGGTTCTTAAAGGCCTTATGTGCTTTAACCTTGTCATACCAGAAATATGCATGCCATCCAAAGACATTGTTAAAACCTTCTAGATCCAAAATGTCCGTGTTTTCAAGAAGCAACCAATCTTTCAGCCAGCAAAATGCGGCTGATTCATAATAAAGTTTAAGATCTGGCAGGGCAAATCCAACTCTTTCTTTAGCATCAGTTAAAATCTTAAATTTTATTCTCGGCTTCTTGCCCTGCCAGACAAATCTCGAAATATCTCTCTGCCATTTCTTGAAACAGTCCATCTTGTCCATGTGATGTGAGGGCGATCTGGCTGCGACATCTGTCACCCCATTGATCGCCAGGGTTGATTTGGCTGATCTGGCTGGCTAGGCGGGTGTCCCCTTCCTCCCTCACCGCTCCATGTGCATCCCTCCCGAAGCTGCGCGCTCGGTGGAAGAGGACGACCATCCCAGATAGAAGGAGTGTACCGTTCTTCGGTCAAGGGTATACGATAGCTGCGCTCCCCCGCTAGAACCTCCAAACAAGCTCATGGCTATTGTGGATTTTGGGACATTCCCATCACATATGGAGGTATGTGCTTGTGGAGGTGCATCCTTTGCAGCATTTTGGTGAGGTTCCTGGGCATATTTCCGTGGTGTTAGGTACCATCTGTAAGTGAAGTTCTTTTCTTTTTGCTAATATAGATTTAAAGGGAGATTTAGACCACATTCTGGTCCATTGGTGGCGGGGTTATTTATGTCAGAGAACTGTGGCTGATCTTCCTTGTTCTATTACATGGGTTCCTTCCTTTGGGTTCCAAACCAAATTAGTTAGCTTAAATGAGATCACTCCTTAAGAGTCAGTGGTCAGTTTGCATGTCATGGCAAACCATTTAACCATTTAAGGATCAGGATTGCTTGGCTTCTCCCCACCAGCATACCCTCCAACACGTTGAGGCAAAAAACCAGGATGCCCGTGAGATCAAAGCCCTGAAAAAGTGCTTTTGGGGGCAAGATTGAGGTGCTCAAATGTGTGCTGTGCTCTTGTGTGAAAAAATGGGTTGTACCGCAACAGTTGAGGGGTATATGGGAAACACACCATGATTCTTGTCTTAGTATTATACCCCCTCTACGGATCATGGATGGTTTCACACAAACAAACCAGAGTCAGTATGCCAAAAACAATGGCTACAGATTTGTTGGCTGCTCTGTGGTTTATTTCCCTTGAACAATATGGCCAAGATAGGTGTGTTCACAGCAAACTGTTAGCTACTGTTCATTGTATCATGTAAATGGTGTCCTTGAAGTGTTTAAACCAGTTCCATGACTGGAAATTTTTCACATGCATAGTGGAAAATGCTATTGGAAAAATGAGAAATAAAGAAAAACCAAAACTGACAAATTTAGCCATCCCTAGATAATACATAGAAACCAATACTACTTAAGCCCTTAAAAGCTATTTACTTCAATGAGACTTATAGACCACAATCCTATACATTTTTATCTGGGAGCTCACTGGGATTTACTTCTGAGTAAACATGCATATGATTGCACTGTGAAAAAACTTATTTTTGTGTTGCACCCCTGATATTGGAAGATATCAAGTTGCCAGTTCCTCACAGTCTTTCCAATTGTGTATAAAGTTCACTCAGGAAAAACCCTGTGCACAGTTGTGGTGTATAAAGAATACACCATGAAGCACAGTAGATTGATTTCCTCTCCACACTGCATCATAATCCCGTCACAGACTACCATCAGCACAAATACCTCTTGATAACTATAATTAGCTTTCTCCTCCTCCTCCTTTGGTTGGGTCAATTGAAGTTTAATTAAAAGTATCTGCAGAAAGAAGCAGAGTTAATGCTGTTCACTATCGCTTATTCAGGGCAACCTACACTCAAATAGCTGCTCAATGGCTCATAGCACTTTTCAAAATTCATAATAAAAAGCAGTGCCAATGTATGTTATAATGAGAATGTGCAGATAATGAGTAAGTGTGCTTCCAGTATAATTATCTCAGCTGCTCGGTCTTGCATTCAGCTAGTGGTCAGGTATTTGAGGTCCAAAGTGATAGGTTTCAGGTCAAAGGTTTAGGTAAACATACGTCACCTGAACGGGCAGGGGGACAGAATCAAATCATATTATAGGCTAATCAGGATATTAATGTTGATGACAGTAGTCTGAATATTTGTTTCTTTCAGTAGATCTATACCCTGCCCCTCCCCCAAGTGATTAATCTGTTAAGGAATTTCCAGGTGTCTCCTGTAAACACTCTGTGCATTGTAGATTACCGGTATTTTGGATCTTGTTCTAAGCTAAGTTTCACACTAGGTTCACTTGAAAACTGACTGTGCCTTTTGGGACTCACTGGAAAATTGAGAGTATGCAGTAGGCACCAGAATCACAAAATTAGTAAGAACTTTATGTATTCGCTTTTATCCTGCCTTTTCCATAAACTATTTAAAGGAATTAAAGCTCTTAAGTGTATTGTAATAACATAAAGCAATAAATTAAAATGAACAGCAAAAGAAGCAGGCATGCAAAACTACAAATTTTCCTGTATTAAAATGTTTGGCTGCATAAAACTGCTTTTGCTTGGTGCTTCCAGACAAAGGTTTAATACGCAAATGGGTCATTGAGGTACCACAAATAAATTCTGGCAACAGGGTTTAGGGTGGTGTGCGTGTTTTAAACAGTGGTTCCCCCCCCCCCAAAAAAGAGGGAATTGGCATTTTGATGACAATAGCACTCTGTAGGCACTCATGTAAGCTTGTATGAGAAGCACTGATCCCACTGTAAACACCTGATTAGAAGCACCCTAGAGCTCATAAGAGCTTTTTTTGTACCAGGCACATGTTCTGGGGGAGGACATTCAAGAACAGAGCAGGTCCAACCCTTGGTCAACACCCTCCTAACTTGGGGTACCCAAAGAGGGCCTCCCCACAAAATCTCAAGAGACTCCCAGGTTTCCAGTTCCTTGCTCCATATCCAAATGGAGTACAAGAAACTAAAAATACTTATGTATTCGCTTTTATCCTGCCTTTTCCATAAACTATTTAAAGGAATTAAAGATCTTAAGCATATTGTAATAACATAAAGCAATAAATTAAAATGAACATCAAAAGAAGCAGGCATACGAAACTACAAATTTTCCTGTATTAAAATGTTTGGCTGCATAAAACTGCTTTTGCTTGGTGCTTCCAGACAAAGGTTTAATACGCAAATGGGTCATTGAGGTACCACAAATAAATTCTGGCAACAGGGTTTAGGGTGGTGTGCGTGTTTTAAACAGTGGTCCCCCCCCCCCGAAAAAAGAGGGAATTGGCATTTTGATGACAATAGCACTCTGTAGGCACTCATGTAAGCTTGTATGAGAAGCACTGATCCCACTGTAAACACCTGATTAGAAGCACCCTAGAGCTCATAAGAGCTTTTTTTGTACCAGGCACATGTTCTGGGGGAGGACATTCAAGAACAGAGCAGGTCCAACCCTTGGTCAACACCCTCCTAACTTGGGGTACCCAAAGAGGGCCTCCCCACAAAATCTCAAGAGACTCCCCAGGTTTCCAGTTCCTTGCTCCATATCCAAATGGAGTACAAGAAACTAAAAAATACTGAATATGGTGGTGGAATGTATAAATTTGGTACCAATCAAACAGTTTGCCAACAAATCATTGAAAAAAGTTTCATTGCTTTAATTTCTCTACCATGGAGAACAATGGAGGGGCTGGAGTAAATAGGCTAAAAGAACTAAAAAGCCCTAAACGGCCTTGGTCCTGTATACCTGAAGGAGCGTCTCCACCCCCATTGTTCAGCCCTGACACTGAGGTCCAGTGCCAAGGGCCTTCTGGCGGTTCCCTCCCTGCGGGAAGTGAGGTTACAGGGAACCAGGCAGAGGGCCTTTTCGGTAGTGGCGCCTGCCCTGTGGAATGCCCTCCCATCAGATGTCAAGGAAATAAGCAACTATTCTACTTTTAAAAGGCATCTGTTTAGGGAAGCTTTTGATGTTTAATGCTATGTTGTTTTTTGGTATTCAATTGGGAGCCACCCAGAGTGGCTAGGGAAACTCAGCCAGATGGGCAGGGGTAATAATAATAATAATAATAATAATAATAATAATAATAACTGTTCATGTGTCAAAAGCTGGTCAAGCGGCAGTGTTGTAGAAAGTGCAGCTCATAAACAGTCCCTCTTTTCCACAACTGAGGAAATAGCATCCGCTCACCATCATATGCTGAGTATTGCTAAAACACCCAATATATTTTCTGTCCGTTGAGAACCGATACATAAACTGCACTTTATAAGATAGAGCTGCCAAAACAAGATGAACATATTTGCTTTGCATAGCACAGCTTTGTGCTATACATTTAGTCAATACATGTGCTCTAATCCCAGCATCCTACAGAGATCAATCCTAAATGGTTCTCAAGGGAACTTGAATATTAAGTTTCAGCCTGAGAAAGGATCTTCCTCTCTAGTTCTCTTATGTGCAAGAAAGAAAGAAATCAACATTTCTTGGAGATTGTATGTGGAAACACTTAACAGTTGCTAGCTTGGAAAATAAGCTAGAAGTTCTATTATTTATTTACAGAAAAATTATTCTGATCCCTCCTTCTATTGTTTATGTCATCTATTGCAAAATACATGATACAAGAAAATTAATGACTGATGTAGTAAGCCTCAAAGAATCATGCAACTCATTTTTAAATGGTTGTTTCTCAAATAGCAGCTCCCACCTGCTGCACCATTGTTCAAAAAGCAGCTGCTGATGCGGCCTGAGGGGAGGGGGCACAATTGTTCAAAGGATAAAAATGGGCACTAGATGTAAACAAACATTGAGAAGCCTGTAAGTATATTGCTCCAAAAGATTTAACCCAACCACAAAGCATGCATAATGGGACAGGATGTCATCCTGAAATATAAAAAATCCACTACAGTGTTACAGCCCATGTTACAAGTGACCACAACCATCTTCATTATCAGGGAATGTGAAACTATTCCAAAACAAAGGAATGTCTAGGTCAGAGACAAGCTTATGTGGAACCAACTTTGGTGGGGAAAGGGCGTGTCTGGGCTAATGAACAGGGTAATATCCAATTGAACTTTGTGCTGGCTAGAGTCATTTACATTAATGGCCCTAACTTAGTAATGCTCATTCATTTCAGAGGGTCTACTCTGAGTAAATTTAGCTAAATACCACCCATATTGATTGAAGAAGTCCATGTTAGGATATTTCCATTCCTCCTAAAAAAGGGAGGAGGCTGTTGTGTGTCACAAGCCTGCGTACTTCCTGCTCACAGGAAGTTTCTGTTTTGTATATAGCTTTTGTTTTCTGTCTGTTGCCTCGACACGAAGGCAGGCAGTCATGTTTTTCCTTTGTTCTGACCAACGCTGAATAAAGTTGTAAATATGCTCTTCTGGGTGCATCTTCTGTTGCGAAGTCTGCTGCAAGGGCGTGCACGAGTCCTGGAATGAGTCTGAGGCTTGTGTCGCTAATTGACTGATGCTGTTTCTATGGGAGATCAATGGATCGTCCTCAGACGACGTAGAAGTATGATGGCCTTTATCTCCCTGGCAGTATCCCAACAGTCCATACAGTGGTACCTCGGGTTACATACG